TGTCTTTAAGTGGAATCACCATTGATGTTTCAATATCTTTGAATTAAAATAGACAAATAGTTTTTAGGACATGGGAACAAATCGCATGATAGAATTTTTCTTTTGGCCACTACGATTGTTGTTCTCAACTAAATTAGCTGTTACAAACCGCCCATATCAAATCTCAATTTCTTTTTGCTTACGCGGCCATCGGTGTTGCGATTGTGAGAAGGTTTGAAAACTGCGAATTACGCAATCTGGCACTTGTTCATACTGTAGTTAGGCCGGCCTAACTTTAATTTTAAGATACAAATTAGGGCCGGTCCTGGCACCTCTTCCCAGGCGTGACTTACTTTGGAATGCCTAAAATGTGGGCCGGCCTTTCTGATGCGAAATCCACTTTACATTAGCTGTGGTTTAGGCGGAAGTATCCCCTGCTATACGACGACACTGTCCATGTCCAGATTTGATACAACTGCGCAGGCTAAGCCAGTCAGTAACATCAAAATCAGGCGATGACAATTTACAATACGTTAACTAGCTTTTGTTAATATGTGCCAAAATCAACGGACAGCGTTTTGTAAAAATGGACGCCGCAATAAACTGATAAGGAAAACAAGTATATTTTTGTAAATCTCCCTTGTACTCCTAGGAATATTGCAAGCGTTCTTTCATATGACTAATTTGCATAATATCGAAAATTACATTAGATGGTGTGCTCGAATTTGAAATTGAGCAACAGCTTGTTTTGGAATGGCAGTTTTGAAGTCTAGACAAAATATAATAATGCAGTGTTGCCGGGGGGGGGATTGTGTTTGTTTTCCTAGTATTTCCTGTTTGGCGCCCTCTGTACAAGGGCATTTGAGGGCCTTAACCATGAGTCTTTTCCTTCTCTGGACGCGCAACGTAAGTAAATAATAAGTAAGTAAATATTGTAATCATACGATCGCGTCGAACCGTTCAATCATAATCCGAGCAGGCCCACTATATATGTGTTAGTTGGGGGAGGGGGCACTCACAAAGAGAAAGAACCTCCCGATTGGATCACAATTCACTGTTGAAGCAGGAATGTATATTGAAGGCCTACTACAATTAAAGAAAGTGTACTTACCGCTTAAAAACAAAGCAAGAACCCAGTTGGAGAACATCATGCATTGGTCATGTTATGCTATCGTTCGTGACTGTTAGCTCGTTTTAGCATAACCTTAGTCGCAATAGCCCGAACACATTTATCATATGGGTGATATATCACTGATAATCATCGCTACTGAAAGACTAACGTACCTGTCATGAATTACATTGCCAGCCAATAACAAGTCGAGTAATATCGGTACCATGGAGAATGTCGCCTTATTCATTTGTGAAAATATTTTTTTTTAAATATTTTGGTGCTAAGTTCGAAATTTAATATAGAACTAACTGTACATACGGTGTTTGGCACAGAAACCATATTTCATGTTCG